TGAAGATTGTGGGTTATCTAGGTGGATAATATTAAACGTTTAACACAAGATACAGCCAATGTTTTGCTACCAACCAGCTAACTTCTTCATGTCTTCGTTTGGCGACTGTGGGTGATGTGACCTGAAAAGGAGGCGCTGGTCTGTGTGAGTCTTCTTTCCGGAGACATTTTGACACTTAGTTTCCTATTAGCCCCCACTTTTACCAGGCAGTCCAGGAATGAAAGGCAGTGTTCTGTAAGCTCTCTTGTGTAAACTCCATGAAAGGGAAGTTGACAGACATTACAACAGTTTAACAAATCCACTGATATCAGAAAGATAACTGACATATTCTTGCTAAAAGACATCACATACTATGTCTTTCAATCACCATTAGCGGTAGATAATAGAGGCGGTAATTGTGCTCATATTCTCCAGGTCACATCTCTGTATGAAAGTCCAAACACACGTGTCCCTCCTGCTGTCATGACCTGCTCATACTCCCAATACTACACTGTCGCCAAAGCCCCATTTAATCCCAAAATACTAGTTTCTCACAGTTGGAAGAAAACTCTTTTTAGCTCGCGACCCCCATGATACATGTGCTGCTCCCCCGAGACCCCCACCTCAACAGCCCTTCCTGTTGCATGAAATGAGTATTTCCTTGATTTAGAGTAACGCTTTGTGCACACATCACACGTCATGTGAAGCGCAGAGACTCGCACCCATGTTATAAACGAGGAACGTCCACAAAACAGAGACGAGCGTAGTGTGGCGCGTAGTGACGCGTAACGTCGCGTACTGAGCTGAGCTCGTTGGCCCAAAATAAGAGCCCTGCGTATTTTTAGTGGGGATCCCCCCTTAGCAGAGGGCATTTCTTGCGACTCGCCCTCACTGTTTTCCGCCGCCCTATGTAAGGGATGTATATTGTTCCACTTTTTTATCTTTTTTTTTGGATATCATGTCACCCTGGAGGTTGGGACCCCCACTTTGGGAACCACTGTTTTAACCAATGCTAAAAATATGACAGCTCTGTGACTGGAACAGCACTGGACATTTATCAACACTTATGGACATTAGTCATTGGCCACTTATGGCCTAATATCAATGTGTTTTCTGTTTTATTTCTTGTGTTTGAGCTGTTTTATTCTCTGGTTAGCACACACAAAAGGCATTCTTAGGCCGAGATTACGGATGTAGTATATATAGTAATAGTAAAAAAGGGACCTCACCTGAATGAGTGGATAGACAAGACCTACTGGACAAATAAATACATGTGAATTTTCATGCGAAGTCTTTGCTCAAAAACGTTGTCTCAAAAACCATCATTTGAACCTTTATGAACCCATATAACTCTGAATTCCTTGTTGGTGATTTTGATGTTATTTTTTAGAAGAGAATAGTTTCTTGAAGGTGCAAAGCCTAATATATCTTATGTTTGTTTTGTACGCGGTCAGTGTAATGCATCAGAGAGTGGGCCATTTGAGCCTCTTACATCACCATAGCCGTCTCACATTTGTCATGTCGAGCCGGATCGTGGAACTGCCTGGAGTTTATATTCTTATTTCCCCATTGAATTCAAAACTTTCAACTGTCAAAGGTTTTGTGAAATGAGAGATGGGTAGATATAGGTAGTGAATGGCCTTGAAAAATATAATAATATAAATTAGATAGAAGTTTCTGTTATTTCGCCACAATTTAATTTTGTCTTTTTGAATTTTGGCAAAACAGGAAGAAGCTGAATTTTATTTTGCCTCTCTTTAGGGCAGGGACTGTACAATGGCGGCCACCTACTGCTTCTGATTGGTCCACTGTAATGTCAATCAGTGTTGTAACCCAGGGGTTCCCAAAGTTTTTAGCCCACGACCCCCATGATACATGCGCTGACCACTAATTATTACTTGACAAACTCTATGCAAAGGCCGTTACAGAAATGCTATTATTTGCTTCAATTCATAATTTTACAGTCAATTTCAATATGTTGTTTCACATGTTTCACAATCTGGCAGAGCTGTAGTTGAAAAAGGTATTCCTCAAGGCTCCACATTAGGCCCCCTTCTTTTTTCCATTTTTATTAATCTCACACACATCATTACCAATTGCTCCATAAATATCTACGCTGATGACACCGTTATTTACAAATCCCACTCTGATATCACATCTCTCAAAATTCTGTTTCAATTCAATTTTAACTCCATACAAAACTGGCTCTCAAACAATACATTAATTCTAAAAATGAAATAATCTTGCTGTTTACGGTTCCAAAATGCAGAAAGCAGACATCATCAAATATCTCGGTATCTGGTTGGACCCTGAACTTAACTTCAAACACCACATCAACTCCATCATCAAAAGAACATACGCCACAATGGGCCCATTATTTCAATGATCGCACTGTTTTATCCTCAATGTCAGGAAACGTATAATTACACAACTGGTTCTCCCCATCATCGATTACGCTGACTTCATTTATCAAAACACATTTCCCTTCCATCTCAAACCACTCAATACACTTTTTAACTGTCTCTGTAGATTGATTCTCAAATGTCCGTATCACACACATCACTGCACTCTGTATAAGAACCTTCACTGGCTTCAACCTCACAACAGACGTCACCTTCACTGGATGCACTTATTATTTAAATGTATTTAATTTAGTTGTCCGCAGTATTAAAAACTGTTTTTTGTCCCTGTCTCTACACCTTTTTCACTCCGAAACTCTGATTGTCTCATCTTTTCTGTTCCAAGAGTTTTTTAAAGAAGTTGGACACAGATCTGTGTGTAGTGAGAGACAAATGCCCAAAAAATAACAATTGTAAACCACTTTGTGACTCTGGTCTGTGAAAGACAGTATATAAATAAACATTACTTACTTATGTAACAGTGTGCAAACAAAAGGAAAAATGCAAATTCTGATCTTTACCGGAAACTTTGGTTAATCAAAATTAGTATGATTGTAAAATGTTTTACACAGGATCAAAGGCAGGAGTCGACTCCATGTTCCCACAGAGAGATACTTTTTTGGCCAGAAATTGCGGAGAGCTACTCCTTTAATTGGTACAAGTAAAAATGGAGTCAATATTGTGTAATGGTAGTATTTATTGGATTACTTTACGGTTATGTAACTGTAAACAATCTCCTATCCATTTATCACAGCATAAAGCTCAATATTTAAGGTTGTGGACACGAGAAACATCACTTTTAAAATCTTGAAATTTTAACCTTCTAAATAATTGGGGTGCCGGTGGTGCGAGTGGCCGGTGGTGCGAGCTACTGGTGGCTCACAAGCTACAGGTTGGAGACTCCTGATCCAAAGAATTTACAAAGTATTAGGGTGTTACTTGATTCTGTCAGACATATGAAGCTGTGCAGGGCAGGGCCTGGTTAGAACTGTGATGGGAGACCTCTGGGAGCACCAAGTGCCACAGTGGGGTGGCTACGGCTGTAAAGTGCCAAGCTGTTGTTATGTGCTTAGGCAAAATACTTCACACACATGGCCTAGAATGAGTGTGTGTGTGAGTGTGAATGGTTGCCTTGCTCGGTGTGCCCCAGGGCAGAGTAGTTTTTCAGCACAGAGTATGGATTGAAAGTGTCTATGACTGTCCAAAAAAAACGCTATTTATAACCGATTATTAATAATATCATTATTTGGCAATAACTGGGGTGAACAAGCACAACTAATCTATTCAACTTTGGGAGGGCGACAATTAAACCTTACAGTCCCAGTACAATCTTAAAGACTTAAAGATTGACTAGAGAGTGCCAGCATAGGTCATTAAATAAATTATAAGTAAGTAAGTAAGGAAGTAATCTTTATTTATATACTGTTTTTCCCAGACCAGTCACAAGCAGTTTACAATTGTGGGCATTTGTCCTCTCACTCCACACAGAGATGGGAGCGGGGTCGCCAGTACAGGAGGCGCATGTCAGACCTATTGTGTCTGAATCTGAATCCACTGAGCCACCGTACCGCCCCCCTTGAGATGAATCATGTCATTTCCAAGGGGGTCGTAAACATAAACATGTAAACACACACACACATATACAAAAACAATTCACAGCGAATTAAGGATGAGAAAAGATAATTACATAAACACACACAAAAAATGAAACAATATAAATGCTCCTTCGCATCCCACTCCTCCCCTCTGCTAAGATTAAACATTTAGAAGAGACAAAGTAAAACTATCAATAATATTGACACATGCAGAATACAGAACATTAGTGACATAAACAAGACATTTTAATGAACCTAAATAATTAAAACTTCAATAAACCAAAAATGGATCGTATGGATGTGGGGAGTTTATTCCAGTCTGATGGAGCCTTGTTTTGAAATTATTGCTCTGATTAGAATTTTCCGGTGACACAAGCTGAAAATGCTCTGTGTTTCTAAAACGCACAAGCCTCAACTGTGCTTGGATTTTATTCTACATTAGAACATGTTCAAAACATGTAAAAACAAACTACAATCACATCTGAAGACACTGTGGCACATGGACCTGTCAGACTTGGCGAGAGACAATATGAATGGTCTAAAATATAAGATGTTTAAATAAAGCATTATGTGTGGGCAATAGTAGTTACCACAGAACTAGTTTGCCCGTTGTCTACAGTACAGACCAAAAGTTTGGACACACCATTTCATTATCTTCATGTTTATGAAAATGTAGATTAAAACTGAAGGCATCAAAAGGGTTTTTAATTCCTGATCTTGTTGGTAACTCTACATCCATACTCATCTGTGTGTTTGTGCTGCTTTAGCAATGATTGAAAACAATATGAGGCTTTCTATTGAGCGGAAGACAGTTCATTGGAGAGGTAATTTATGGTAAATTAATTCTTTATACTTTTTGTTTAATTCTGGTTAAAGGACATTTTGTTGTTTTACGAGGGTGTTGTGATATAAGGAGATTGGAAAAGTAATGGTGACTTGAATATAGATTCAATCATGGAGGCTAGCTGGGTTTTCACATTATGTTCAAACTGAACTCAGATTGACCAGTGCACAGGAGGTCATGGCCTCAGGACTCTAGCACCATGATGTTCTTGGTGGTGTTCTTGGTGGTTAGGTCACTGCACAGTGGGACATCTCCACAGGGCTCTGAGGACAGACGGGCCTGCAGCTGGTGGTTTCTGAACGGGGAGCGGGTCATGGCTCCAGGCCTCAGATCCAGAGTGGACTGGTTGGAGAACACATAAAGGACATACAGAGTGTACTGCATGATCTGCAAAAACACAAAAGAGGGTCAAAGACGGTTTTTTCCACAGTAATATCCAATATCACACTGGATTATTCTAGTTAATCCTCTACTATAACTTTGGTAGAAATGAAACTATGACATCAGCCACTTGTACGGAGTGAGGGACGAAGAGAAGCTGGAAAAGGTCATCAAGAAGCCTAGCTCTGTCCTGGACTGTCCCCTGGACACAGTGCAGCAGGTGGGGACAGGAGGGTCCTGGACAAACTTACAGTGCCTTGCGAAAGTATTCGGCCCCCTTGAACCTTTCAACATTTCGCCACATTTCAGGCTTCAAACATAAAGATATAAAACATTTATTTTTTGTCATGAATCAACGACAAGTGGGACACAATCGTGAAGTGGAACAAATTTTTTTGGATAATTTAAACTTTTTTAACAAATAAAAAACTGAAAAGTGGGGCGTGCAATATTATTCGGCCCCTTTACTTTCAGTGCAGCAAACTCACTCCAGAAGTTCAGTGAGGATCTTTGAATGATCCAATGTTGTCCTAAATGACTGACGATGATAAATAGAATGCACCTGTGTGTAATCAAGTCTCCGTATAAATGCACCTGCGTTCTGTTTAAAGCGCGGAGAGAACCATGAAGACAAAGGAGTTTAAGGAGAAGTTTAAAGCCGGATTTGGATACAAAAAGATTTCCCAAGCTTTAAACATCTCAAGGAGCACTGTGCAAGCAATTATATTGAAATGGAAGGAGTATCAGACCACTGCAAATCTAACAAGACCCGGCCGTCCCTCCAAACTTTCATCTCAAACAAGGAGAAGACTGATCAGAGATGCAGCCAAGAGGCCCATGATCGCTCTGGATGAACTGCAGATAACTACAGCAGAGGTGGGAGAGTCTGTCCATAGGACAACAATCATTTGTGCACTGCACAAATCTAGCCTTTATGGAAGAGTGGCAAGAAGAAAGCCATTTCTCAAAGATATCCATAAAAAGTCTCATTTAAAGTTTGCCACAAGCCACCTGGGAGACACACCAAACATGTGGAAGAAGGTGCTCTGGTCAGATGAAACCGAAATCAAACTTTTTGGCCACAATGCAAAACGATATGTTTGGCGTAAAAGCAACACAGCTCATCACCCTGAACACACCATCCCCACTGTCAAACATGGTGGTGGCAGCATCATGGTTTGGGCCTGCTTTTCTTCAGCAGGGACAGGGAAGATGGCTAAAACTGATGGGAAGATGGATGGAGCCAAATACAGGACCATTCTGGAAGAAAACCTGTTGGAGTCTACAAAAGACCTGAGACTGGGACGGAGATTTATCTTCCAACAGGACAATGATCCAAAACATAAAGCCAAATCTACAAAGGAATGGTTCACAAATAGACGTATCCAGGTGTTAGAATGGCCAAGTCAAAGTCCAGACCTGAATCCAATCGAGAATCTGTGGAAAGAGCTGAAGACTGCTGTTCACAAACGCTCTCCATCCAACCTCACTGAGCTCGAGCTGTTTTGCAAGGAAGAATGGGCAAGAATTCCATTATCTCGATGTGCAAAACTGATAGAGACATACCCCAAGCGACTTGCAGCTGTAATTGCAGCAAAAGGTGGCGCTACAAAGTATTAGCGCAAGGGGGCCGAATAATATTGCACGCCCCACTTTTCAGTTTTTTATTTGTTAAAAAAGTTTAAATAATATAATAAATGTCGTTCCACTTCACGATTGTGTACCACTTGTTGTTGATTCTTGACAAAAAAATTCATTTTTATATCATTATGTTTGAAGCCTGAAATGTGGCAAAATGTTGAAAGGTTCAAGGGGGCCGAATACTTTCGCAAGGCACTGTACATTTATGCTCTGTCTGCTATGGAGACCCTCGCTGTGTGTAGGAGAGGTTCCACAAGTTGTTCCTTCCTGCTGCTGTATTGCTCCTAGAGTGTATAACTCTAGGAGCCTCTAGGAGCCTCTAGGCCTATATTTCAATCTCAAAAGCCAAAGTTTAAAAGCATTCACTTATCCATGAATATTTGGTGTGCACCTTGCATGCTCTAATGTGTGCAGTTTTGGTGAGAACTTGATCTCAGCACCTTTGTAATTCATCCCATCTCACAGGTGCTGATTTGTGAGCATGAATACTGTTCCAAAGCTGACCTTAAGATGTTTGCGTTCTTGGAAAATTGTTGATTATAATTATTGAATTATTAGAAAAGGATACCCTAATGCAAAATAGTAAATGTCCACATACAGCTTCTGTTTGCTCATGATTTTACTGTTCATCCATCAGATTCTATTCTCCTCCCGAGACATTCCATTAGCACAGGAAGTCACATGCCCTGAGCTGAGGGAAAAAGTCTTTCGTGAAATGTATTATAAGCTTGTAAGAAAAAAGCAAAATACCAAATTATGTTCAATGTTTGACGTGCACTGCAGACACAGTCCAACCTGAGGCCCAGGATTATTTAATATTCACTCTTAAATGTGCCTGAAGCAGCTAGCATGTCTTGCATCATACGCGTTGTGGTCTGAGCTCGGGACTGCAGACCTGGTTCTGTGCTCAATAATAAATGTCAAATATTTCAAGTGCTGGCTTTGGAAAACAGAACCACTTCATTATTGATGTAGAATGCGCTTATGCATGAGCCTTGACGCACAGCATGCTGCAATTTGTCGTGGTTGTTGACCGCCTGGCGTTAAAGGCATGTTTTGGGGCTATAGTGAATAAATAAAATACTTTGACTTCTATCATACTTGTAAATGTGTGCTCAACATGGACAGTGGTGCGCCAGACCCATAGACTATATATTAACGGACGAAGTCACGCCTATCTCCGCCGTTCTAACTAATGGGCCAAAAATTGGGCTTTCATGGAGTGAATCAAAATAGCCGCGGGAGCTGGAATTATGAAAAAAACGCATCTGCGCATGCGTCAGCCGGCACGAGCCCCATTCATTTAAAAGAGTGACTTCAAAAATTCACAGCGACTAAACTAGACTGGTCCAAAAAAATTCACTCGCCTCAGCATTGACACACATGTGGAACGGAGCTTTGGGCCAAGAGCCAACTTTTGGTAACCTTGCCTGCAAGCGGAATTCTCGCGGTATTTGTGAGTTCACAAACACTCGAGAATACATCCCAACCCTTTTGGAGTAGAACATCTAGGTGTTCAAGCCAATCACGCGCCAGTCTGGGGGTTTAGGGCGGGATATCCGGGTTTGACGAAAGCAAGAAGTGCCGGGCCGAAGCAAAACAAACAAAGCTACGCAGGAGGACGGACGCGTAGCTGAGGCTATCAAGTCAGTTTTAGCAGAATCTCCAATTTCTTTTTTGAAAGATGAACAGCGAGGGGCGCTTTGTGCATTTCTGGACGGCAAAGATGTTTGTGCATTTTTACCTTCGGGTTTTGGCAAACCTTGGTAGGCGGGCACACAGCGTCACTTCGCCCAATCAGCTTGAAGTATTCTGCTGCTTATCCCTCCTTTCCCCGAAAGGATTCTCCTGCAGAAGTCCCAGATTGATATTGTGGAGAACGCATCAGAGTTCTACACAATCATCAATCTGGCTCTTGCCAGGTTAAACTTTTGGACCATCCTGTAAAGACGTTTTCGAGAAGTAAGAAGATGCTATATGTTAGCATTGGCTAATTCTTATTCCGGGTCCACCCCCATAGGCCCGGGGTGCTATTGCAAGCTTATCAGCGCACGTCATTTTGGCCACTTTTGAGCCGGGACCCGCCCCCACTGGCCAGACCCTGACCCACCTGAGTTGTTTTTAGCTCCATCCATGCTAATGTCGAGGAATCACCATCCCTCGCTCTTTCAGCCCAAATGCTATTTACAAAGGGTACATTATGACAAATCATTGAACTATATGATGTGCTTAAAACAAAAGTATAGGATGAACTCAGGTCTCCTTTCAATTAGTGAAAAGGGCTATTTATTATTAGTGGAAAGGGCTATTGTTTTTTGCCGATTTCAAATTATTTTTACTGTGAGAGTTTCTTTTTTCAATTTTATGATTGTAAAAGTTGATCTGAGCTGAGCCGAAAATACATGCATTTAAAAACTAGAACCTATCCGATCTTAAGAGCAAGAAACGAATTAGATGGATTTAATTACAATTCAATTTTGTGTAGTTGGTGGTGAAATGTTGGTACCTCAGCTTTAATAAAATTTACATCACTACTTATTGTATGCACTTCTAGTTCTCTCCAATCTCACCTGTCAAACTTAAAGACCTCTCACAGCTGTTTCAGAAAAGCAGCATATGACCATACCTGCATGTGTAAGCCAGATCCCTTCAGACCTTTGAAGTAGGGCTGCACAATATATTGGAAAAATTCCGTTATCGCGATATTGGTGCATGCGATATCCATACATATAACCAAATATGCGCGATTAAAAATAAAAAACAATAACAAAGCATATAAATATATGCATTTGAATGTCATTAATGTGCTTATTTTATGTTATTCGTCTCTTGCGTTTCAATGCAGATTGCAATTCTAGGGGAAACAAAATAAAATATCGCAATAATATCGTTATCGCAAACCTAAACACTCATATCAAATATCACTCTAATTTCCAATATCGTGCAGCCCTACTTTGAAGCAATGAGTCTGGTGTGTGTGTGAATGGTTGGTGGTGATCAGAGGGACCGATGGCACATACTGGTTGCATCACTTCTGTCAGTGTGCCCCAGGGCAGCTGTGGCTACAGTAGTAGTTCATAACCACTGTGTATAGTACTAAAAACATAATAACATGTGAAGCGTCTTTGAAGGTCCAATTAAGTGCTATTTAAAATTGATGTATTATTTGTATTATTTATAGACAGTTTATGTATGTGTGCTGTGACCCGTCCTTCTCCACCCAGAGGCTACTCCACCTCTGCTGCTCTGACCCGTCCTTCTCCACCCAGAGGCTACTCCACCTCTGCTGCTGTGACCTGTCCTTCTCCACCCAGAGGCTACACCACCTCTGCTGCTCTGACCTAAAGTGCTGTTGCATGTTATTAATATTGTTAGCTATACTTATCTTTTTATATGTTTTGTTTACTGTTACTGGACATCTGCATTTCTCCTACAGGAATAATAAAGTATCTACAACAGGGGTCTCCAACCTGTGGACCGAGAGCTACCAGCAGCTCGCTAGCCCCTTCAGGTAGCTCGCCAAAGGATTTAGAATTTAACAAATGATTATGAATGAATACATTTTTAGTCATTTCATAAATATTCTAAGTATAAATCTATGGTTATACGGTATTAAGGAATTTCTGTTTTCCATGTTTGTCGTAATTATTACATAGAGTTTTATTATGACCACAAAAAGGAGTAGCTCTCTGCCTCTTCTGTTGTGTAAAAGTAGCTCTCCGGTTGAAAAAGGTTGGAGACCCCTGATCTACAGTATATATCTATCTATTTACGCATGTATGTTTTTATTTCTTCATCACGGTGGAAACTGTTGCGAGCCTGTATAATAGCAAGGTCACGCACTCACATGAACTCATTTAGATTGCTGTGAGGCGCCTCTCACTCCTGCATTAGCCTTTCACCCGCTGGTATTTGCAAGTGTAGCTGTAGCCTGCCAACTCCGCGACCTGCCGCAGCCCAGCCACCTTTTAATCTTTGTGGTAATTTCTAAACTTGGGAGAAAAACTGCACTCGCCAGATGACATTTGTCATTTCTGTTTTTTCCTGCGAGGCAAAACACAGCAGTTCAACGTTTGATTAACCTGCGTCTTGTTTATTCGGGTGTGCTTTGTTCGGGGCTTTTTGATAATATCTGCATGACAAAAGGGAAATCAGGCAAATGTTTATGCCGACGTTCCTGCAAATAGCCCAGTGTTTTACTCACGCGTGTTGCCGATCTGGCAGAGTGCAAATTAAAAGTTTTCGGATTACTTATATGCATATTATGGATATTTGCACAGGTACATGTAAAATTAAAAACACATACAATTGAGCCGTGAATAAAAATGTTAAAGCAGCGGTACCTAACATACTGACTTTTCTGTCACTTTTTTGATTGAAAAAGAGGATCTAAAAATAGGCCAAAAAACACATAAAAACACACAAACTGTTAGAGCAAGGGACTGGAAACTAGTTCAATCTGTTGTGGTTTGGAAAAGAGGTTCCCCAGCTTTAGGTTGTGTGATTATTAGAGAAAAAAACAAAACGATTTAGTAATAGTGGCAATGTTGCTTTGCCAAACTGAACTGAATTAACTCAAAAACAAACCAAATTTAAGACCATGGGTCACCAGAGAAGACTATTTTTGGAAAAAGGGCCGGATCAGATTATGTGGTGGGCCTGATTTGGCACCTGGGCTTCAACTTGAATGAGCCTGGTCTAACATGTTTTCATTATGTTAATAAACTGGTTGTCCGCATCCCAGACCCGAGGGCCCAGACCCGAGGGCCCGGACCCGTGGGTCCAGACCCGTGGGCCTACTTGCGTGCTCTCCCTATCATTAGCGAGCCGATGTCCATGGCTCAACAGAGGTGAACGCAGGTCTGGATCCATAGCCTGTCAATGACTGTCATGCTTCTCTCAGAGGTTATGTTTTTCTCCCACTGAATATTTGAGTTTTCCTTTGCTGATGTAGGAGGGTCTGAGGGATGATTCTTGGCTTTGATGAGTCGAACTAATCAGTTTGGTTCTAACCCTATTTTTTTTTTAATGCAAATATTTCTGGCCTACCCTTTCGCCTGCTCCCAGCTCAAAGCTTCAAAAGGTGACTCCCAGAGCCCTATTCTACATGCAAATATTTTATTATAAGATGAAGATCATGTGAAGTAGGCTGATTTATTTACAAAATATTACAAAACTCTTTCTATCAAATCATTATGAAACAAACAGTGAAGAACCCCAGCTCTAACATAATAACAATGACATTCCTAGTCATTGGTCTGTGACCATTGGTCAGTGCTACTGTGACCTGTCCTGCTCCACCCAGAGGCTACTCCACCTCTGCTGCTGTGACCTGTCCTGCTCCACCCAGAGGCTACTCCACCTCTGCTGCTGTGACCTGTCCTGCTCCACCCAGAGGCTACTCCACCTCTGCTGCTGTGACCTGTCCTGCTCCACCCAGAGGCTACTCCACCTCTGCTGCTGTGACCTGTCCTGCTCCACCCAGAGGCTACGCCACCTCTGCTGCTGTGACCTGTCCTGCTCCACCCAGAGGCTACGCCACCTCTGCTACTGTGACCTGTCCTGCTCCACCCAGAGGCTACTCCACCTCTGCTGCTGTGACCTGAAGTGCTGTTGCTTTATCTATCTATTCTTAGTCACATGTGCAGACTGCAGAAAACTATTGATCAATAAAGTGAATGGTGATGTTGTTGTGGAGGCAGAGAACTGAATGAACAGAAATCATTTTAATGCCAGACTTTCTCTCTGGCTGTAAGAAGATGTAGTGCAGCTCTATAGCAGACAGCAGCACGATGAGTCTTCTTTAATATCCCTCTTGAAGCCCATTCAGGGATAAATGTAAAAAGCTTTTGTGTCCCTGCCACTGAGATTCTTTTTATTTCCTCCATAAATAATGCAGAAATAAAACACATGTGCTGTGAAAGAGTGGTAACCGAGTCCTTTACCTGAGAATCATTTTCCAATCCCCAACACGAGAGCAAAGCAGTGGAGGAGGATAAAAAGCAACGCATTGGGATCACATGAGGCAAATTTGATGATTACAGTTTTGTGTAATTTGAGGATTTTATTAATTGCTTTCATGTTATGCTTTTCAGATAAGGGAGGGAGATTGTTCAAGTTTAACTGTACGTTGAAAGCGAAAAAAAAAAGGAATTAAATATGAAGTTGATATTTTAATGTGGTAACAAAGTCCTTTTACCTGAGAATCCTTTTCCAATCCCCAACACGGGAGCAAAGCATCAGAAGAGGATGCGAGAAATGTGGGGCGAATCAGAGCCAAACAGCAGGGCGTACGTTGATAATTACAAGCAAGCATAATAACCCAAAAAGTGAAATGGAAAAAAATAATTAAAATCCATATTCATTAGTTCTAAAGAGTGTAGCAGTGACATGCTCTCTCGCGGCAAAATCACAAAGACGATCAAAAGAGAATAACTACTGTAGCAACCGAGGACCTATTCAAATGATAGCCTTCGTTTTGACGCATCGGGATCACATGGGGCAAATTTGATAATTACGTTTTTTTTGAGGATTGAAGTGCTTTTATGTGATGCTTTTCAGATAAGGGAGGGAGATGTTTCAAGATTAACTGTACGTTTAAAGATAAAAAAGGACATAAATATGAAGTTGTTGTGTTAGACGTGTATTGAGCACTGTTACGACCCAGCTCAGCTATGGGTGAAGGAGCTGACAAAAAATGTGAATTGGGTGAAGCTCTGATGGCCTCCCCCCCGACCCAGACATGGATTAAGGGGAAGAAAATGGGTGGATGGATGGATGTAAATGATGTGTTGACACAAACAAAGTGGGTTCAATACACTTTGAACCCATATAGTCCAACACTATATGGACTATATGAGAAAAGACCAAATAAAAGCCATACAAATGTCTCTAAAGTCATTGCCACACCTGACAGACCACAACAAGTATACCATGTAGCGTGTCCTGTCTGCTAAGCATGGCAGGACCTGGTTAGTACTGTGATGGGAGACCTCTGGGAACACCAGGTGCCACAGTGGAGTGGATGCGGCTTTAAAGTGCAGAACTTTGGTTGTGTCCTTAGGCAAGACACTTCACCCACTTTAGAATGAGTCTGTGGTGTGTGTCGGAGGGACCAATGGCCCAGACTGGTTGCCTCGTTTCTGTCAGTGTGCCCC